TGGTTTAACATACCCGGTACCAATCTGTTCAGAACAGCAGTCTCAAAAATACTATACAGCCTAAAAATAGCTTTGACGATTGCCAACCTTCGGAACGAAGACAGCACTTGAAAAAGAAGATATTGTAGGCAAACCTGGGTTCAGGCCCAAAGAGCAATGAAAACAAGGAAACGGGAAAGGAAAGATTATGTTTTTAGTTTCCGCGACCACAGCCTATGAATGTGTTTGCTTATTGTCAAGTTCATCTTCCAACAGCCCCTCTATTTGAAATAACTCAAACCTTGCATTAGTTTCTATTCTTCGGAACAGCTTTTCTTAGGGAATCTGCCACTAGTTGAGCGGTAGAAACATATCTAAACTTCCACTAGTTTTCAGAGATCTTTTCTTTCAGGAAATAGTGCCGGACGTCGATATGTTTCGTTCTTGCATGATGTGCTCCATTCTATACCAGGTTAAGAGCGGCTTGGTTTTCAATATGAACCAAAGTGTGTTTTGTACGTTGTCCTAACTCCCTGCTTAATCTTAACCATAACCATGCTCATTGCCATGCATTAACTCTCTGTCCTAGTGGCCCACGATATGGCTGTCCCATTCTTTAAAAATATGTTTCCAGTGACTGACCTTCGATGATCGATATTACAGGCCCAATCAGCATCTGCATATCCAATAATTTCAACCTTTTGACACGTTACATTTCTTCAGCATGCTTTTTTATGTAGAATTCTTGATTTTATCATATCTTCTTATTTTTTCTATCTCGTGTTATTTGCAAATCAAAACACGCTTCATCAATATATTTCATCTTAAATTTAAACGCACTGTTTCTTCAGTTCTATTTTGGCGACAGCATTATTACTTAAAATATCATATCATCGACATAAACAGCAACAAGGCTAATTTGAAATAAATGCAGCTATCAGTCGTTGATTGCGTTGACCTTATTGTATTTTTCAAAGCCCTCAAGTTATAACATGTAGATGTCTAGATCAAATTCGGCAACTAATGCTAGTGAATATCTGATACTTGTGCACCTCACTACAGGAGAGTACTACATCCTTTAATCAATCTTGCTTTGTGCTTTAAAATCTTCCTTTCCAAATCTTTCTTAATTTTGAATAGCCATTTACATTTTAGAAGTTTTGTTCTTCATATTCCACTAAAGTGACATTTTCAATAAGTGCATTGTATTCGTCAATCATGGATTCGCGCCACTTGTCACTGTCTGGTCTGCTTAAAGCTTCTTTACATCTTGTAACAGTTCATCTTTATCGAATCACCAGCTATAGCAACTTCAAAACTATCATAGGTTCATATTCCGAGGGTAAACCTGGTAATAATATGGTTCCGACCCATTCTTCACTTACTTTGAGGCCAACAGTTTGTTTTCGGTGAAAATAATTCGGTTGACAGAATCTTTGACAAATTCACAATCTTCTAATCTAGTTTTTATCAGTATTCTTAACAATGCCGAGCCCCTTATCTTCAAAAGATTTGTGTAGTGCCTCAAACACTGCTGTTGCATCATCTCCAGCATCCTGAACGTGTATATAGTTGATTGGTTCTATCAGTAGAACTATCTTATTTCGGATCTTTGCGAATTTCCTCCCGTCCAATTCGATTCCCGCAAGGCAAGCATCAACTTTCAACTTACTCGTGAACAATTCTAAATAATGCTTGGGTTTATAACCTGTCGGCAGAGCGCTGTTCAAGTCCAAAGGGCAAACCAGGAATTAATCTATTACGTATTACATTACATATATAAACAGAGAAAAAACAACGGAGATTCTTGTCAATGAAGCTAATGTTGTACGATCTCTTTTTAGTTTACCACAGCCTATGCTCATTGTCAAGTATATCTTCCAATAGGTATAGTGTGGAGAGAAAAATATAACCGATCCTAGGTAAGCTTTCACGAAAGGCCTGTCAACGGGTATTAAGTTGCCTTCAGGAAAAAGGCAAGTGATATGTAGCAAGACGCAATAGGACATTCCAGGGAAGTGACACCAGAAAACATTAAAGAGAAGAAAATATTTTAAAGTTAACGCTCGATGCGTTTCGACTGTCTTTGTCGCCTCTGCGCCCGTGAATAATCTGAGGTAAATTGGCGCAGTCTGTAGGATAAGCTAGAAAATACGCTTCCGATGACGTGGAGGGTGCACGACATGGCTGGCATAGTTTGAACTTAATTTCGTGAGTCCCGGGTATCTTTAGAATGTCGAACGTTCGTCGAACAAAGACCGGAGAATTTATCCTTTGCTAAATTTACCAATGGAGGGGCGGGTGGGCGCGTAACACGGTGGGCTTTATACACGGTGGCCCGCGATTATGCGCGCATAATGCGACACCAAGGTAATCAGAGGCCCGGCGCGATGGCGTATATCGGGGATTATGCGGCGGCAGTTTTATGGCGGCACCCCATATCGCTTTAAAATGGAAAATGGCGTCGGAGGGTCCGGGGGTGCGGAGGAGAGCCACTTTGATGCATGGGCGCCATTAACACCCGCTTCAGACTTTATTCGTCGTGTTATTAATGTCCTAGAAATTTAAAAAAAAATCTGAAATGGTGACCATAGTTAGACCAGAAATATAGTGCTTTTACAACCGACTCCAAATCCGCAGCCCCTTACAGAACACCCTGCCGAACAGACCTTTACCCGTAATCGTCAAGTACATACACATAGTACAAAGTAACAATTTATTACGTTCTACTTCATTACATTTCTACATAGTATCATTATTAATATACAAAATATAAAATATAATAACAACAAAGCATCACTTTGTCACTTTCGCTTCTGTCGCCGCCTAGTTCAATGATCAACTCCACTAATCGTTCTCGATAAAAATTTTCTTCTTTTATTACTCGTTTTTCACAGTTAGACCAGCTTTGTACTGATATTTTAGCCACCTCTTGCCGACTGCAGTGTTATTTCTTCTTCTATGCGCTTTCAACTCAGAACAAATCACCTCAAACGGGTTTAATATACAATCTCAAGATGTCATGTCGGTTTTGTTATGCTATCGAATCGATTTTGTAGTCTTCATTAAAATGTTTTACTTTTAATAATTAGAAGTTGTTTTTTCGTGTAGCTCTCTTCAAAATATAAATCATTTAGAATTTTTCTAATTTCGGCTGAACGATACGAGACATTATCCAACATAATAACAGTATTTGGCGATAGTTCTGGCAACAGTCTACTTTCAAACCAGTCCTCAAATATTTCCGCGGCCATGTTTTCATGGTAATCCCCACTTGAATCTTTAAGGTTTTTGGCAGACAAAAATAAGGCATCTTAAGGCACACCATCCTTTTTTTTTAATGTGTCGTGAGTGTCGGACCACGTTTCTTATGAATACCTATTTTCCTCTCTAGTTAGCAGTTTTATTAGATGTTTGGAACTGAAAATCCATTTTCTTCAAAAAAGTACGCAATGTGTTTTTGGCACAACTAATCCACGTTCTAAGCGTCCTAGATTATACGCCTAATTAGATCTGCGTGTTGCTCTTTAATAACTCGCCAGGTACCGGCGTCTTCTCTCACTTTCCGCTTGAATATCCCATTTGCACCAATTTTTCTTACAGTTGACTTCCGAACTTTGGTCATGTCACTTGTTCTTATTGCTGCTCCTACTTTTCCAAATTTCGTCGTCGTCTTCTAAATTGTTATTATGTTCGACCACCATCTCCACTTCGTCTTCAAATTCTACGTTGTTTTGAATTAGTTTTTCTATTCAATTCAATTAGTTTTTCTATATTCGAATTTAATTCCGAACAATAACAGAAAATACGATGACATTCAACTTTTTAGTTTTTGGGTTACGAACAAATTTCCGCAGAGTCCTTAGTTTTTATTGTTAGGAACTTATTTTAATTTTGTGCACATAATAAATTTCTATATTCTCAACATTTGGCAATTTTGTAAAATAGAGCAAAAGTTGTCTGCTATTGCTATTATTATTATTATGTGATCAAATTAAAGAAGATTAAACAATTTTGCTCGGTATAGTGCTTCTAACAAACGTCTAGCAAATTGAGCAATTTTTACACTTCATTAATATATATATATATATATATATATATATATATATATATATATATATATATATATATATATATATATATATATATATATATATATATATATATATATATATATATATATATATATATATATATATATATATATATATATATATATACTTCGAAGTGTTTTCGGAGCGCGAGCATTGAAGATGCCAAGTGAGATTTTGGCGAAACGTCTGCAGGATTCCAGTCGGATGCAGGATTTGCAGGATTCCAGTCGGAGTTCAACGAACGAATATATATATATATATATATATATATATATATATATATATATATATATATATATATATATATATATATATATATATATATATATATATATATATATATATATATATATATATATATATATATATATATATATATATATATATATATATATATATATATATATATATATATATATATATATATATATATATATATATATATATATATATATATATATATATATATATACATATATATATATATATATATATATATATATATATATATATATATATATATATATATATGTCCTTAATAATAAGTCAATGTTTTGAAAGGGTTATAAATTAATTATAGTTTTGTTGACCGAGTGGAACCTTTTCCAAATGTCATGCGTTTGTCATTAGAAAAAAAACCGAAAACTAAAAACATTGAAGTATCAGTCGAGCAAGATCAGGTTTTTCTTTTTACTCAGTCCCCAATTACCCTCGTCCTACCAGTATAGTGTGAATATATTCCGCCATTCAGTTTCCAGTCTGGCGGCTAATAATTTACAAGTTTATCCCGGCATGCAACGAACGCGGGCCCGAAGCCCCTGCAACCCCCAGCCGCTCCACCACCCCTCTCTCTCCCCGGGAAAGCGCATGTTCCAAAGTCCGCCGTCCCGCTTCTAAAAATCGGGATAGTTCTCCCGCAGTCTCGGGTTTGCTCGACGCTCGTCAAGTCTGCGAAATCAACCTCACAGGCGGTAATATTTCGCGACGAGCTTTCCACCAGGTGTTTGCTTTTAAGGTAATCGCCGTTTTTCGTTTTTTTTTTCATATATTTCCGAATTTAACCGATTCCCGTCGATTGTTCCAATAAAAACGTACTCGAGTGACACCTTATTATATATTTAGAAAATATTTTGGAAATCGCCGCGTTGCCAGATTTACCCGAACGCACTGGCAACGTTGGAATTGCAAACGCCCCCTGTTTTATTAGAGATTCGGATGCTTCAGAGAATTCTAAACAACTCAGAATGTTCAAGCGCATTACTTTTTGTGTTCCGTCAGGAGTTCCTCAAGGTCCCACGTTGCATCACTTTTTTATTTTTTGTTGACCACATCATATGATGCTGAGTTTTCTCAAAAGTAATACTACACGGTAAAAATTCATTATTTTTTTAACCAGTTTTCATGTTCCTGTTAGATCCGCACGCATCACCCAGACATTTCATGTTTCTTGTTACCATACTGATTCCTATATTGACATTGACAGGTAGGGATCTGAGTCGCGGTTAAGATTGTTAGGTTGTTTATAGATTTCTATAGACTCTCGGATTTTTCGTTGATCAAAGATCCTTAAAAAATGAAAACCCACTAAATCTAATATTGGAAAGCCTGAACGCATTGCCCTAAAATCTCTAAGATCTAATCCCTACATCGTAATCCTAAAAGCAGATAAAGGAAATGCTACGGTGGAAATGAACACGAATATCAAGAAAAAATTCAAAATATTCTTACCGACGAACCATATCATCAACTTAAAAAAGATCCTACGTCACGCATCCTTAAATCTATCATTAACGCTTCTTCTATATCAGATTCCGTCTAAAAATCTGTCACCCCACAAACCAGGATTACCCCTTCAACCTATTGTCAGCACCATTGTTTCTCCAAAATATTCTCTAGGAAAATATATACATTTCTTATTAAAACCCTTTACAGTGAAAACTGACAGGTTCGTACTTAGTTACTTTCACTTCATTGAACAAATAAAAAAGCATTATATTAGATACGCAAGATATTCTGGTTAGTTTTTCTACTCCCGTCTGTAAAATGCCTAATTACACACCGATCTAGCGTGCGGAAAGCGTCACTTTATCATGTCAGTTTCGTTTCCCACGGACCCGAACCACTTCTGATATTGGGCGGGAGTTGGAAGCAATCGCATGTTTTCGGAGATATTTCCTATGCTTTGAATTGTGATGTTTATCAATTCTGACGGTCATGTCAGTGAATATATTCGCGTTGTTTTGCGAAAATGTACCCAAAAACTAACGGTCGTAAAAAAAGTATAGTATGCAACACATTCGTTTATTAAACGCTCGCTCGGCTGCGCTCCGCTCGTGTCAAATAAACTCGTAAGTCAAATGCCGTTTACCGCACTTGTTGCATAATATACAAAATTATTTCTGTCAAAAATATATATCCCCCAATCAGTTGAAAGAAATGATTTTTCAAAATACTCGTTACCACTCGAAAATCAAAAACAACTAGAAAAATTTACGAGTAATATAGAAATAATCTCTTATTACGCTTATCAGCTATCAATATTATCGCATATGACAAAGAAAATAATCCGCATTTCCACCTGCCTCGCGATAAACAAAATCCATGGAGTTGACTGGGCAGTCTAACGCGTTCTATCCGTAAAACTAAAAATTACCTCGATTTCGGGATCACTACGCGGCATATTTTCTGTAAGCCGCGTTAAACTGTTCCAAGAAAAGGAACGTCAGAACGGTGTGGGGACCTATTCGGAAATAGTACGGCGTGAGACCTTTCCAAAACGCCAACACCCCTTCGTGTTTCAAAATGTTCACCACCACCTCGATGGGCCCGAATTCCGGTTTGCCGTCTATCGTTTTCATGTTCTGCAACCGGGTCTTGGTAATGTCCACCGGTAAACTAGCGGTGGCTGTAACCACGCCCGATATCATCGACGCCATGAAGTGGAGGAACACGCCTTCCTCGAAACGGCCGGTCACCAGTAACTGTTGCTTGGCTTGGAAGTAGGTGGCCAGCTGGGCAGCGTTCACCACCATTGCTCGACCCATCGTGGGTACCGCGCCCCTCCACCACGTCCTGACTCCTTCCTCGCGCCAGATCCGGATCAGAGCGTCGATGACGTTTTTGTAGTTTCGCCTTTGGTCCGGCGGCAGGCGACCGTCTGACGTCATCCTGATGAGGGCCACCTCGGCAGGGGTTCCCACGAACGCGCCACACACCCCAGCGAACATGCCCACCGACGCTTTCAGCGCGAAATTGGGCGGTTTCTCGTTGAACGTCAACACGTCCGATATCCACGTGTACATACCTATATGGCGCAGTCACGGTGGATATCTATTCATAATCTGGTCGGAGGCTTACCTAATCGGGTGGTGGTGTAGGTGGCCTGTCTCAGCAGACCTGCCGTGAGGCCGTTATACAATCCAAGCACCCCTTCCTGCTTGATAACGTTGGCCATGAGGTGGAGCGACGTTTTGTACTTTTTTCGCTCTTCCGGACCAGTCATCTGCATCCGGTTCTTTAATAGGTCCAGTGGTTGAACGAAGCAGGTGGCGCAGCATCCCGCGGAACCGCCGAAAAGGAACTTGTACCTGTTTGGGATCGGTTTCTGTTGCGAACTCATCACTGGAATTTGGAAATAGGGCGGGGCCGAAAAAGTTACACTGGAATTTGGACGGGGCGACGACGGTCCTCCCTCGCTTTGGCCTAAAGTGACTGTTGATACGTCATTCCGACGTTAGTCGTGTAGAACGACAACTGGTGTTTGCTTTGTTCTTATCGTCATCATCGAATGCGTCCCATATCGGCATATGTAGAGTACAGGAGAAAAAAGACGAGAGTCCAAAAAACTTAATTCTGATTAATTGTGATTTTTATTTCGGAAGACTACTCTAGAACATGGTAAAGAAAAATAGGATTTTGAATATAATTATTGTACTGTTTCACTAAAGCCATAATCTGTCGCATTCTAGATAGATGTCCACGAACAGGAAAAACCATTTTGATTGTGTTAATCCTTTTAACAAAGTTAACAATATAATGAACATTCTAAGCACCGTGAAATTTTTATTTGGTCCACAGCATGAATCATTTTAATCCGCTTTGTATAGTTCGTTGTTTTTGAAGAATCTCATATAATGAAAATCATCTTCATCTTCAGATTTCCTGGGACGATGGCGTTACACGTTATTAAACCACTCAGATCAAGGGATTGTTCATCAAAACTTTGTAGTTGATTAAACTTGGACACGATCGACCTTAAATCGGCTGCACTGAGATTTTCGAAACATCTAAGTTTTGAACATTTGCAGCCTTGTCCAGTTTAATGACTACTAAAGCGTAACTTTTTAGTTACATCCTGCATTCGTCCATAGGATTTTCTTTTCCTCATGTTTTGTTGCTCAACCATTATGCAATAACAAAAAATACATCGCAAGACTTTAAAAACAAAATAATAACTAATTACGTCAATAAAAACAAGTCGGTAACTAGGGACCGAACTACATGCATTGTTTACGATCATAAGCCGGTGAACTAGCACGACGTTGCCATTTCCTATCGACTTTCATCTTTCTATCATCATTTTAAATTTTGTTTGTCTTTGTACTGTCACCTTTCTAGCCATTTCATATAGGTAGATACCGTTCTATAGCCGACATGTTATACGAATTAACTGTTGCTCTTATTTGGGCAAAAAATGGACCCTCATCTTTTTTCCCCTGTACAATTCATATACTCTATTTTTCTCTGTCGTTCGCTACGTTCATGCATTATTTATTCATTTATCATCTGATACACTCACAATGTGTTGTACGTAATCAGTGATATTAAGACCAAAAAAAATGCACATAAACATGCTACCTGAAGTTAGACTGCGTACCTGGAAAACATCCTGTTTAGTTAGTAGCGCATCAGTTTCGCGCGAGTGCTCAGCAGATAATCCACTTTTGAACAGTAACGCGCTTTATCAATATCGTGCCATTCGCTTTGTGCCAATTTATCGGGTATTCCGATCCATTTCCGACACATCAGAAGCGGGATAAACCCACGCGCGCAGCGCGGGGTAAACGGTTATTTGACGATAATAACATCTGAACACAATAATTAAATGATCTTATTTGACAAAAATTAATTACAACGTATTTACATTTAATATTATGTTAACACCTTTTTAAGCTGAGTGAAACACTTTTTTATTAAATAAAAAAATAATTCATTCGTTTTGGTTTAGGCCCCCATTAGTGGGGGCAGTTTTAAAAGCTTGTGCTGACATGAAGGAGTCGAAGTTGAAGTCGGAAATTAAGTTCAATTACTTACTTTTTTTACACATCTATTGTGGGTAAATTATTGGAGATAAATGAAAAACTGCTAAAGATGCCATAATTTGATTTGAACAGTATCGTAAACTATGTCGAGAGAGAGTTTTAGGCTTCGTCAATTATACAGGGCGCGCGAGATATTTGAAAAAATATCATTCGACGACGCTATTATTTAATATTTAACAAAGTTTGCCATAACTTGAGTTTGCGAGACTTGAAAGACACTTTATGCAGGGTGTATGCATAATAAAATTACATCGATTTTGCGAAAATTGCATAGTGGCCCGCAGGAGCACGATAGAAAAACAATGTCTCTCTCTAGAACAGGGGTCTCCAAACTTTTCAGCCTTAGGGCCATATTGATCACGCCAAGAAATTCTAAGGGCCAAAACAATATTATCATTAATTATCATTATTATCAAAATGTTGGTTGAATTCATTTCAATAATTTGTTGGTTAGTATATAATAACCTACAACAATGTTATGAGTAGTTAGCCCATGACCATATCAATGTAGATGTCATATTAATTAATATTCAACGTAAAAATAGATTACTTCAGTAAACTAAATTTATTTGCTATAAACAACATCTAATCTCTAGTAGATTTTTCTTTCAAGTATACAAGCTCTCCGCGGGCCGGACAAAATCTGTTCGCGGGCCGGATGTGGCCCGCGGGCCGTAGTTTGGAGACCCCTGCTCTAGAAGAAGAAACTGCGAAGCGGTTTTGACGCTACGCGCTACGAACTTGCCCCGCCCACCGTCGATTTTTCGAAAGCAATCTTTTTATACAAACTGGCGTTGTTAGGAGTTTTTCATACATTCAGCAAAAAAATCTAAAACTGCTTGAATCTAATGAATCAATTAAGAAAATGATAAAAAAAATAATTGTTCCTGTAACGGTCAATTTTTTGCACAAATGTCTCCACTATCACCAGTCATTGCGAATATATTTATGGAAGTCTTTGAGAAGAAAGCTCTCGACACCTTCCATCTAAATTATGGAAACGCTACGTCGATGATACTTTTGTTATTTCGCCTTATGGCTCAGAATCCCTAGTAGATTTTCTTAGACATTTAAACTCTATACACTCTAACATACGTTTTACCATTGAAATAGAAACTAATAACAACCTTTCATTCTTAGACATTCTTATCAATAGAAAATCAGGCCTAAGCTTACATTGTGTTTACAGAAAACCTACGCACACAGACCGATATCTTAATGCATTGTCACATCACCATCCGACCCAAAAATCATCAGTTATCAACTCTCTCGTTGACAGAGCCGTAAAACTAACTCATCCCGAATCGTTGAACCCAGAATTAAAAGACCTTAACTCCGCTCTTCTCTTCCAGATTAAAGATATTAAGCGTTCTATCACAAAATACACTTCACCACATCTTCCAATAACACAACCGAAAGCAGTGCCACTTCCTTACATTCAAAACATCACTGACCACATATCAAAAGTCCCAAAGAAATATAAAGTTAAAACCACATTTACCGCTTGTCCAAAAATCTCTCAACATCTTCGATCCTTTAAAGACAAAATTTCATTTGAGATGCCAGGAATATATGTATGTGCGGCAAAAAATACGTTGGAGAGACAGGACGAAAACTATTAACTAGGCTCAAAGAACATAAAATAGCCTTAAGACTCTTCTTCATCAGCTGCCTATGCACTACTATTGGATGTTGGCGATCACATTTCCGTATGCTACCCTGTCCATTGCTGTATGTACAAGGTCCCCGATATTTTTCAAGCCAGTCCATTCCCTTAGGTTTCTAAGCCATGACATTTGTTTCCTTCCTACGCCACGCTTGCCCTCTATCTTACCCTCGACGATTAGCTGGAGAAGCCGATATTTTGGGTTCCTCATTATGTGTCCGAAATAGGCCGTTTTTCGTTTTTTTATGTGTAATAGAATTTCTCTGTCTCTGCCCATTTTTCTCAAAATTTCCTCGTTTGTAACCCTTTCGACCCATGATACTCTCAGCATACGGCGGTAAGTCCACATCTCAAACGCTTCTAATCCATTAATTGATGTTGTTTTGAGCGTCCATGTTTCCATACCATATAATAGAACGGACCATATATAGCACTCGACGTATCGTCCTCTTAGGTTCAGGCTTGTGTCTCTGTTGGTAAGTATATGTTTAAATTTGAGAAAATAGCTCCGGGCTATTTCTATTCTGGCTTTGATTTCTTTGTCATTGTCCCAATCGTCATACAGCCAACTACCCAAGTATCTATATTTCTTGACTCGTTCCAAAGCCATTCCATCGACGACGAGTTGCGCATTTACATAAGGCACCCTGTCCCTACTGATTATCATAAACTTTGTTTTATTACTATTTATGTTTAGTCCATAGTTTTTACTGGCGTCGTTTAGAAGAGTAATCAGTTGTTGTAAGTCTTGGATATTATCCGCTATCAAGACAGAATCATCCGCGTACCTAATGTTATTCACATATACTCCATTTACT